GATGGCAAGGGCTGGTGACGCGTGTGTCGAGTCTGTCGGGGTTTCGGAAGCTTGTTTACCCTTGTCTCCCTTCATGTCGAGGCTGTCAGGATTTCAAGATGCTCGCATGCCGCTGGACCTCCATTGTCAGTGTATCACCTGTAAATTCGCATGGGACTTGGGGCTGTGGGCAGCATGTCAGCCGGGTCATGCTTTGAACAATGCTTTGTGTCTTCAGTAGAGCGGTAGTTTCGCTTTGGGGTGCGCCGCAGACAATGTGCCTTGTCAGCGACGCAACCGCGCAAGCGGCGAGGTCTATAGACCCTTTCTGGCAGAAACAAGAAGATTCAATGAAGCTTCTGATGGCTGCTTGCCCGGGATGCTGTATCGCAGATCAATTGACCGCTGAGCTTGAAGACGTTCGTGCTACGAGGCTTAGGGACAGGAGCACCAGGCTTGCATCCCAAGGTGCTCCATGCTGCCTCTGTTTTGCAAGATTATGAGACGAAACATTCACCTATTGATCATCTACTTCATCTAGCTCGCTAGCCCGGAAAATGGCGCCTAATTGGCTCTACTAAGATTCACAGGGTATACTCACTGCAATGCCACCACCTCGAAGAGGAGCTTGTGATGGAAGGTGATCTTGCTGATGTGATCCCACAGGCATTCCTCGCCGTCCGGCGCTAGTCTGAAGTGGACACGATGATTTGGAACGGCGCAAAGTGCTGCTTCGAGCTCGGAATGTCTCGCAAAACAGTCCCTCGAGAGGTGTCGTGGATCTTGGACACGTTGCCGCACGCCAATCCTGAGCAGTGCAGTCTGACTATGCCTGACTTGTGACAGTCGCAGGGGACAAAGTAGCAAAACTAAGCACAGCAAAGGCTCTGTACACACGGGTACCCAAAGCAATCTGGGTCACGAAACCTAGCGCGTACCCACCAGATCCCAGCATGTAGACTGCTCCCATGGGTGCACTTGTGCCGGTCGATGAATCCTGCCTGTTTTGAAGCCAGACTATGTCCAGCGAGCGCTCTGCGCAAGCCAAACCGTTGCAAAGATCTGCCAGAGTCTCGAAGTAAATGTGCAAGCGCGAGGCCTTGAGCAGAACATCTCGCAGAGAAGTAGCTACCAAGAACCACGGCAATAAGGCTCATGCCCAAAGATCGTGTGCAGCCGTGTCCTACAAAGTTTAGTAGGAGCATGTCTGATCCATGCTTGTGCTTGGCGGAGCCCCGTTGTCGAGGTCTGTCCTGCAGCTCGTAAGCCCTCTGTGCCAGCAGAACTTCCTGGAAAAGTCTCTCGCGCTTCTTGATTCCTGGAGACAGGCATCGTTCTCGTCTCTACATATTCTGTTTCCGTCGGAAGTTCCGTCTGAACTCCGTCGTCATGTGGCAAGGGATGCATGTAGGGGATGGTGCGTTTCTTCGCCAAAGCGAAGCGATATTTTAATAGCCTGCCGCCTGCACCTGCCCGGCCTCGCTTTCGCATCCCAATTGCGAGGGCTTACTTGTTCTAGAGCCGTTTTTATAAATGGTTTGCAGGTGGTCCCGCCCTTTTTGGGTACCCGAAACTTAGGATGCTAGTTCTCTCCTGCACCCAGTTACTTATGAAAAGGCTTGGGACATGAGGCATGCCTCTTGAGGCATTCGAAGACTGAAAGCTCTCACCGACTCTAACCTCATGATGGGCCCGGTATTACTCCTACTTTGTGGTGTCAGCTGCTCACCAGCCCCGGCCTGGATCAAAGTGCAGAGCGTTCGGAACCAGGGACTCCGCATCAGACTGCCATGCCCGACAAGGGTGCCTCGAGGGCACCTTGCCAGAGATTGATGCACCCCTGGCCCTGAACTGGCAAGCCATCGGCAAGTTGTAATGCAAAGACTTATGCAGATGCAAAGATATGCAAAGGCTGCAGCTGCATCTCCAAAAGCTGTCTTGGCCCAGCCGGTGCCTATGCCAACGCTCACTTGCCAACTACGAGACTGAATTACTGGAGTCATTACAGTTGCCAACCTGGAGCCAATCGGTCCTTCAAGGTGGATTGTCGTATGCAAACTTCATGCAAACTTTCCAAAGGGCTTGGCATTTCTGGTATACACAAGACTCAAGATTTCATGCTCGCCGACTATTTGCAGCATCGGTATGCTGGAGCACTCAACCATCTCCTTCAGCTGCAAGTGGGCCGCTGGACTGATGGCGAGGAGGCCAGAAAGCTCCCGGACCTAAAGGTTACGTACATGTGTTGCTTTCAGGCTTTCAGGGCAGTCGTCTCCAACTCTGGCTACCGACATCTGAAGCCTGAAGCCCCAGCTCCATGCCAGCACGTGTCCTTCAAAATGTGTGGCTCCTGAGCAACCAGGCGCCCACCTGCACATTGGTTGTACTGGCTGCAGGCAGTGAATGTATTTGTCAAGTTCGAAGGACAAATCCACCCAAAGCGTATCGAGCTGCGCTAGGTCATAGGCTATGTACTAACCGTCATGTCCGATTTCGAAGAACCAGTACCGACATGGTTGTTGAATTTGCTGTGTTCACCATTCGCCGTACTCCAGGACCCCAGCCGTGGAGGCACAAGCTCGGCCTTGAGCACGATTACAAGAAAGGGATGCGAGGCTTTGCCTTCGTGAGCCTTCGTGGCGACAAAAGCACCTGCCTTGCCAGCAGGCTTGCGAGTTCCTGCGGCTCCTCCTTGTGAAGTGTTTCCAGAACAGGCCTTGGGCCGTGTGCGCAGGTCGCACTCTTCGCACTCTTTGCATGGATGCGCCTGTAGATCCTGCAGGGCTTCAGAGCGGCCTGCATATTGCAAGTATCGTCAACACTTTGAGCTGTCAAGAAAGCCTATGCTCGCATATGTTCGTGTGCACATCAGTGCTACTTTGCCTCTACCACAGCGTCCACCTTTCTGGGCAGGATCACCGTCTTTGGGATGGCCGAGCGCAGGCTGTTCACCAGCCTCTCCTTTGAAGGCCTTTCATTGACTGACCCCTCGAGAATCTAAAGCAGACCAGAAGCCAACACATTCGTCAGGCCTGATCTCAACCTTGAGTGTGCCTTGGATGCTCGGATTGATCGATGAACGGACTATTGTGGCGGGCTAAGCCTGCATCAAACTGCATCTGATGGATCTACCTGCGGAGAAGGTATCTGACGGGCAGCAGACGGTAGGAGGATCTGACCGGTGGATCCTATAACCTCTCAACTGCCTCCGGGGAATGTATGTGACGGGAGGACCCTAACCTCTGGGAACTTTAATTTCTAACGAGGATGTCACAAGGATGTCTAACCAGCGACGATGGGCGAAGGTATCTGGCGGACAGAGGAAGACTGTCGGACCTGCACCTGATCAACCTACTTCTGCAGGAGATCACAGGCGCCAACCTGTGCTACAAGTAATAAATGGGCGTCTCCGGAACAGTTATATGCAACTCCAAGGAACTGATTTGGGCACTGACGGCCCGGAGCACATGCAGGAGGCTTGTTGATTCAGGCCGCTGGGCCTGAACCGCTCTGCAATCATGTCACGTTCAGGCATTGCATGCATTGCACACATTCACGCCTCTTCAGTAAAGAGGGCCCTCTCCAGAAGTCGCAGTACAGCACATGGAGACCTGAGAAGGCTTGTCTGGTAGCTACTTCAAGATTTTTGCAATCTCCTGAGAAAGCGGCGATGAAGATGGAATTCCGATGTCGCACAGCAGCTCTCGCTGCCCATCCTGTAGTCGTGGCCAGAAAATAATTCGTCATGGTGAAAAGCCTACAAGGCTTGCACTCAGGCTCTTGTTCCCACTCATGCGTGCTCCTTGAACGAGTTGACTTTCATCACCCTGATTCGGCCTTCATGTCAACATTATGCCAAGGAAAAAGTGCAAACGCCTGTGAACGTCAAGAGGACAGACCATATGCGTGATATTGGGCCATGGCCAGTCCGGACGCCGTACGCCGACAGCAAGCGCTGCAATGCAGCTGCCACCTGTCACATGAAACTGCCGATGAAGTCATCCCCCGCAGTCACGAGGTACCACAGAATGTCACAGGCCCATCCGCACACGAAGGCCAAGTGAAGAAGACGTCGACTTGGGGAGTGCCTGCCACTCACAAGCAGACAAGCAAATCAGAGACAACATCGTTCGCAAGCAGCCCTGCTGCCAGCATATCAGTATACATTACGTGTCAGTCTCGGGTCCACAGGCAAGAGAGTTCTGCTTCATGTGCGACGTGCCTGCAAGTTGGCAAGGATGACCTGCATGTCCACATGTCCAGCAAGTGAGCGAATCATATGAATTCATCCGGCTCCTCTCTCTCCCCCCCTGCCCACCAAGGTTTAGGGTTTAGGTTTTACGGTTGACCTCCACCCCCCACCCCACCCCCTACCCACACCGGTCAGCATGAGGTCACAACCGATTATGGCCAAGAATGGCTCTGTTGCACGTTCTTCTGTCAGCTGCTCCGAGAACAGCTTCAAAAGAAGCTGACCCTGCACAGCCCTAGTGTCGCCACCTCGCGTGGCACAACCCCACGCAACCACGGATCCTACCCTTAGAGGCTTGGATCTGCTGCACATTCTTCAGCTGACCCGGAACAATGCTGACTGTGCGGGCGCGACCACCAGCAGCAGCAGCAGCAGCAGCAGCAGCAGCAGCAGCAGCAACCCCAAGTAACCACGGATATCCACGGATCCATCGCCCAGAATGGCAGCAAAAAGCATGCTGAGAGGCTTGGATGTGCTGCCGTTCTGAATCTGGCAATTCGCGATTTCCGCGCATCCGTTCGGAACGACACCAGAGCAGTCCAGCAACCGCCCTTTCCCGACTCCAAGTGCGATCTGTGCCCTCTGTGTCAAAGTCAAAGCCGCCACAGTTTCGTGCAGGCCCACTTGCATGGTAGCTGTCTTGCCACTGAGCAGCGCAACTTCCACGGCAATGGACATGATTCACTGTGGAACTCCCTAAAAGCACGTTTTTGTTTACGCACGGGCTCCCTCAAACCTAAACTCCCAACATCTCCCAACCCTTCAGAATTCAGGATTCCCGGTGTTGCGGCTGAGATCGAGACTTGCACACCTTACACACTCAGCCAAAGCTCTAACTCCATGCGTTGGCAGGGTCCATGAAAAACAATTTTGGGGTTTAGGATTGCAGGGTTTAGGGTTTATGGTTTGGGTTTAGAGCTTAGGATTTGGAGTCTAGGTTTTCCAACAGGCCCGTCATGATAAGGGTGCCTTTTTGGGCTTCCGGATCAAAAAAACACACAAGGATCAGGATCAAAAAATGAATAAAAAAAAGGATCAAAAAGAAAATAAACCTCGAACGTCCGAGTACTAAAACTCGAGTCTTGGTACGTTTTCGGAACCCGATCGAGGACCCTCTCACACGAAACGCGTGTCGAGGCGCTAAAACTCGAGTTTTGGAAAAGTTTTCCGGGCACGATTGACGACCCTCCCTCTCACACGAAACGAATCTCGAGGCGCGAAAACTCGAGTTTTTGTACGTTTTCGGAGCACGATCGACAACCCTCTCGAGGCGCTTAAACTCGAGTTTTGGTACATTGTTCCCGACGCGATCGACCAATATATTATGCATATCTATATTTATTTTTCATATTAAGGTTAATATTCATATTAATATTTTTATTCTTATTAATATTTACATAGCATATCATGTACTATATAATATAATACATTATATTATCATGGAATATATAACATAATATTTAAAAACATTTAAACGGCAATATAATATAATATATAAAAATAAATGAAATGTAAGATAAAATAATTATAATATAAGATATGATATAAAATACATTATAAAAAGCATAATCTAACATAATATCATCTAACATCATATCATATCATATCATATCATATAATAGCATAGAATATAATAGTTTATGATATAAGATCATATAGTATAAACTATTTCATTTATATTACATAACATATAATATATAAGACTTAATATTTAATGTCTAAGATACACATATATATATATATATTATTTTTTCTTTAATATATATATATATATATGCATAGATACTATAATGCATAAATATAGATATATATATATAATACATGATATTCAATATCTAAGACTTCATTTTGAATTTCTAATACATAATAATGGTAATATATAATAAATAACAGATAAAATACAGTATATAATATATAATATATTAGTGGTAGTAGTAGAAGTATTGGTAGTAGTAGTTGTAGTAGTAGTAGTAGTAGCAGTAGTAGTAGTAGTTGTTGTTGTTGTTGTAGTAGTAGATATAGTAGTAGTAGTAGTAGTAGTAGTAGTAGAAGTAGTAGTAGTAGTAGTAGTAGTAGTAGTAGTAGTACTACGAGCAGCAGCAGTAGTAGGAGCAGCAGCAGTAGTCGTAGTCGTAGTCGCAGGAGAAGAAGAAGAAGTAGTAGTAGTAGTAGTCGTAGTCGTAGTAGTAGTCGTAGTCGTAGTCGTAGTAGTAGTAGTAGTAGTAGTAGTAGCAGCAGGAGTAGTAGCAGTAGTAGTAGTAGTAGTAGACCCCCAGTTGCAAACACAATGCTCGCATCATGGGTCTCGAAAAGACGCGTATGCTATGAAGCAAGCTTGCGTGATTTAAAACAGCGGGGGTCTGAAGGGGTGCAGCCCCCCCCCCCCCCCCCCCACACGCAAACACAATGCTCGCATCATTAATTTCGAACAGACGCTTATTTGGAGCAAGCTTGCGCGACTTAAAAAGCGAGGGGGTTGGGGGGGCGCAGCCCTCCCCCCCATTTGCAACACAATCCTCGCATCATGGCTTTCGATACACGCGTATGCGTTGAAGCAAGCTTGTGCGACTTCAAAAAGAAGCCAAGAAGCCAAAAAGCTAAAAGCCGAGGAGAGCCAGGAAGCCAAGAAGCCAAGAAGCCGGGAAGCCAAGAAATCTACTCGGAAAACATGCCAGAACTCAGGGTTTTAGCGCCTCGAGACGCGTGTCGTGTGAGAGGGTCGTCAATCGTGCTCTGAAAACGTACAAAAACTCGAGTTTTGGCGCCTCGAGACACGTTTCGTGTGAGAGGGTCGTTGATTTTGTTGATCCTTTTGTATTTCTTTTTGGTCCTTTTTTATTTTCTTTTTGATCCTTTTGTGTCTTTTTTGATCCCTATCCCGCCTTTTTCCTGCTACTTGGTTATGGTACGGAGACCAACAAACAGAGAAAGGGAAAAACGGTACTACTGGGATACCTTTGAGTTTCAGGGTTTAGGGCTTAGGGTTCAGGATTTAGGTAGTTCTCTAAATTCGGGTTTAAGGATGGTTTAAGGTCGATTTTGGTCCTTGGTGTAGTTTTTAGAAGCGTGCCGTGCTATTTTTGGGGACCTAGACAGGGACCCTAGTTTAGAGAACTACCGATCATCTGACAATGAAGGTTTAGACGGCTAGAGGTCCGGGAGTCCGGTTTAGGGTTTAGGGTTTCCCCTTCCCTTCCACTGCTGATGCTGCTTGGAGGGTTAGGGTGTTGGATTCCTGGACTTTAGGGATCTTAGTGGTTAGGATTTTAGGGATTTGGCTGTTTTGGGGTTTAGGCTTAGGTGTAAGCTTTAGGGCTTCTGGCGTTTGAGGCGTAAGGCGTTGCTTTAAAAGGGCCTTTAGGGTTTTCAGGGTTGCGGATTTTTCAGCTTAAAGGTTTGGGGTGACTTCGAACAAATTGAAAGAAATCAGCTTGGCCTCGTCCATGAGAGTTGTCTGTTGGCCAAGGCGACCACCTCAACTCAGGAAAAGCCTTGATTGACCAAAAGCCACGTGAATGTAGAGGGGTTAAACAAGTTCACGTAAGTTAAAGACCCGTATTCTTCGCAAACTCTCCTGCCTGCCAGAGCCGCTCTTGCACGTGCGAGTCGTGCTCGCACTTGTATGCGAGTTGTAGGCAACTCCTCACCGCCACGAGCTGACTTGCCACTACAACCTTCGAGCAACCTGCCCTCATGCAAAACTCGCATCCGCTCATGCTGCAAGGGGTACAGGACACTGATGGAAACTGCCTATTGCGCAAACTCTGCGCAAGACTACTTTCTGTCTCCTGCATGACAGGGCCGTTTGCTCTCAGCAAGTCCCGGCTGTGGAGCATGGCCTGCAAGATGACGATCCACGGGTTGCGTAGCATGTGCTGCGGAAGCTGGCTCTTCACTGAAAGGATGCATGATGTGACGAAACCATACTACAACAGCCACCCTTGGTGTCCGCTCCAGGTGTGCAAAGTTTGCTCATTTGATCTCCTATGGCCATGCGCGGGCTTTTTGCCGTCGAAATGAAGCGTCAAATCTGCTCGCAGATCGCTTGCGCCTTGCGCTGCTGGAAGCTTCGCCATCTTAGCGGAGTGGGGCACGCAATTGCTGCTACTTTGGCCATGTCGTGCTGACCAGACTCACATGTCAGCTCATGTCAGCTTCAGTGCACTCCAGCTTCTTGCTTATGCCAGCCATATGAAGCGTGCCAACCACGGCGAAGACAACTTTCCTTCATCAGACTCAAATGTCTTGTGTGGGCTTGGGGCATGAAGCGGTGGAGCAGAGTGCTTCCCGCAGCCTCTCAAGCTAACCGTGGAATCCCTTGAATTAACCACGAATTACAGCTGAGCTGTGTCTCATTTCCTGACAGAAACAGAATGTGCGGCACGCGTAGAGTGAGTCATGTTCGTAGTACTATAAAAAGCTTCTGACTAGCTGGCCGTGGTTAGAGGTTAGAGTTAGGGCGGTTAGGAGTGTGAATAGATTTGCCTTGCAACAAGTGTCTGTGGTCCACCATGCCTTGCACAGGCATCTGCGATACACCGCGCCATGTGACTATCCCTCTCCGTGAGAATCCCACGAAGCTGCACACGCCACAGTGCCATCACGGGCAGTATCAGGAAGACCAGCCAGCCAGCGTCAAAGAGCCTGTAGGAACTGTAGGCTCTGGGATCTGCCACGGCAGCGCTTTCTGTAAAGCTCGCAGGAAGTAGCAGCGCTGGAATCAACAGGCCCAGCAACAGTAGCCCTGCAGTGCTCGAAAACGGAGCTTCCATGGCCAGGACCAAGAAGTTGCGTAGGATGGCAATTGGCGTTGACACGAGAAGCAGAATTGATGCCGCAATGCGCAAGACTGTGGAGGCATCTGACACGCCGAGTTCACTGGAATACGGCTTCGGACTTGATAGAAGCGTTGAAAAACAGTTGACGACATCAAACCCGATTCTCGCCCAGCCGCTGGCACTGCGAACGTCTTGCAACGTTGCGGCTGCAACTTCCTGAAGTACCGCGTCCAATTCTTCATCGGATAAATCGCCGAAGAGGACAGGAACATCTTGCCCAGCCGTCCTTGCCCGATAAAGGAAAACAACTGTGAAGACATGTGAATACGCCTGGCCTCAGTCGGCCATCAAATTGTCTCAGATAATTATTCTGTACAGTTAGTTCGTCGTAGACATGTGTATGTAGAGCATAGAACCACGCAACAGTAGTAACACTTCAGCCTGAACCCCAAAACCGCCTGAACTTTGCTGAACTGAAGGTATATTCTGAAGGCTCTCTGCCGCAGCCTGCATTTCGTTGTCCAACAAAGCCCTCTGGAAGGAACCAGGAGGATGCAGCGTCTGCCTGAGTTCAGAGGGGTCGGATATACGAACACAGAGTTTCTCTCGTCCTGAAGGACGCGAGTCCTTTCAAGCTGTTTTTCACTTTCTGCGTTCTTTGGTGGTTCTGGTATGTGCTGCAGGTGTCGAGCAGCTCCCTTTCAGGAGTCTTGTGCATGCAGCATTCTGAGGCAGGCGCATGCGCTGCCATCTATCGTCGAACATTTCCAACACAACAGCAGCAAGTGTGTTGTTGTCCTTGTTGTCCAAGAGCTCCATCACAAGGCTCTTTGTGCAAAACACTGAGAACGGATTGAAGTGCATGCATCCAACCAAACACACCAGGGTTTCAGAGTCGGAGTGTCGAACTATTCTGGCCTGCGTTAGAGCCAGTGAGCTGAGCTTGGACAGAGCCTGTCTTGTAAGCCTTGTGGAAGAGGGAATGTTCCGCTGTATTTGTGGAGTTCGTGCACAGATCCGCTGAGGAGGGCGAACAAACTGATGCCCAGCAAAGCACCAGACGCCAGCAAAGAAGACTGGCCAAATGCAAGGTCGAATTATTGCAATTGATCGCACACCGCGCATTACATTGGCCAATGATGCCCAACAGTCCAAGAGAAAACTTGAGCCGATGTGGCAAGTTGCAGTAAACATTTGCCATTGCCGAGAACGTGACAAGGCAAGCGGATGCAAACGGTACAACCATGGGCCTGGACATCGGGTCGTGGTGGTTCACGGAACTTCTGCAATTCCTCTGCAGCAAAGCTCGATCGGAGCAAGACACATGCGCGACCAGTTTCTGACATTTCCTGACCTCGAACTCCTCGAAGGAAATTGTTCCCTGAAGGGCCACGAAAGACTGCCACAACATGCCGACGTGGGAGAGCAAGAAGACAATCATGAAGACAATCATGATGTTATCTGCTTTCCAGAGGTCCTCTCATGTCGTGCTCTCTCCCAGCCTCGTCATCCCGGTCCAAGAACCGGAAGATCGGCAATGTCGGCCCGAAGTACGCGAAGGACCGCGCCACGGTTACCCACTCAGCTTCCTCATTTGCTCTCTTTCGGAGGCGCTCTCCCGAGACACTGGTACCGGTACGCCTCAAGGTTTAAGGCTGCCACGGAGATGAAGTTGTCGCCGTTGAGATCGAAGACTGCCCATGCAGCCTGTGGGAAGAAGCATCGTCTGATCCATCTGTTCTGAGCAGCTGCACACGTTTTGACTTGCCCAGGTGCATTCAGATCGTTCCCGAATGACCGGCTGCAGAAGTGGACAAACTCCTCGTGATGGCATGTGCAGGCATCGTCACCTGTGACATGCTGAGGAGGTAAGATGCCACCCCGTCCTGGATCGAGTACACCATTTCTTTGTGACACAGCTCGAGTATGCCTTGGCTGATAGCGAGTTGTCTCAAACTGGAATCAAACATCCCTATCCCAATCTGCTCATGGACGACCTCTGTCTTAGGCAAGGTGCCCCATTCACTTCGAGTGACTTGACCCTCACCGCTGGGATCCAAATATCCTTTGGCATTGCGGGACAATGCATCATCTGCACTGGATTCTTTGCAAGTCCTACTAGGCATCAATCGGCAACCTGCATGGGGGGGAAGTCTAAACTGCTTTGCAGGCAAGCTGCGGAAAACGCCTGAGGAGCAGCAGCACAACAACATGAAAACTCAAGAAAAAAGCAAGGTTCTATACTACACAGACTGCATACGACTACAGGCATGTCTGCTTTTTGAAGTTTGAGCAGGTGTTGCCTGGGCGGCATGTTCTGTCGTAAGCGGCTAGTTGACTTGGGCTTTCGCTCCTGAAATCTTCTGAATATTGATGTGGGTGTTTTATTCACTGGCGTCTCACAATCTGATGGACATCCGTCGACCTGAAATTCGCCCCGGCCTCCGGCCAACAGGCATCTACCACAAACAGGCCGACATCTGGTCTCTTCCCCCCATCGCAAACCTTCCCCCCGCGACACGAGCTGCAGGCAAGTGGTTTGTGGGAAAGCCTTCTTCACTGCGGGCAGCGCCCACCACTCTAGCCGACTCTACCCGAGCTACCACCCTACCCAGGCTTCACGTGGCAACGCGCTCGCGCGTGCGCGCCAAGCAACACAAGTGCACGCAATCGTGGGAGAACCCGCTCTCTTTGCGGGTAACAAGACGTAACAAGCACACGAGCACAAACAACATGCGCATCGAAGGTTCTGCACCACCTGCTGACAATGCAAGCTCACTAGGCTGCGGATTCAAGGTTTCGGGTTTACGGGTCGGTCGGCTGCTCTCGTTCCGCGTCTGCTGACCGACGACCGTGCAGACTGGAAACTCCGAGGTGCACCGTTTGGACCACCGACGAGCACGTCCCGTGGCTTGGGCCGGCCCGTCTGCCCAGGCGGCACACGCGAACGCTTACAAGTATTCAGCTCCCTTGATGTGACGCCCAGCAAGGTGTTCACATGACGCTGGTGCTGCGCGGCAAACAAGCCTGTGATCTTTTCCACTTCACGGCGCCCTTTGAACTTCTTGCACTTCACCCGCCTGGCTTTTGGGGTTGCGATGGCCCCCACATGCTCCCACGCACGCACAGTCACAGTCACAGCTGCAGGAAAACAGTCCACGACACTTCAAGCCCTCCTCGAAATCTCGGAGATTCAAGACCTGCGTGCTCCTTACCAGAGCAATTCGGGGGGGAGGCATCTCATATGGCATCCGACTACCACAACTGAACCAGCTCAGATGACAACTTGTTGCTTTTGATGTCATCGAACGCCTGCAAGTGGGTGGGAAATGAACCGAACCATTCGGCAACATTCTTGTGACAAGAGGAGAATCTTGTCGCCAATCAAGCGTCGAAACTTGCAAGAGCAAGTGGCATTGCATCTGGAAATAGTACTCCACTTGGGCTTGAGGCCCTCAACAGATCCTCAACAGTATCTGCCATTGCTGCTTGAGAGCCCAGGTGGTCAATACATCATGAAAGCAGTGAAGCTCAGGGAGACTTCGGATCAGGGCTTATGCCCCCGAATGACTTCCACGACTTCTGATCTCTTCGGATGCCAATTTCGAGCTGCATGGTGCGGCATGAAGTTTCAAATTCTTGGACTTCCTAGCAAATCCTGTACACTAGTGCTGTATGTCTTTGCCGGCGTGAAGAGGAGCTAGTCTACCAGGTCTACCATCCCATTCCAGCCTCGTATACATCGTCGTACCTTTCGATTACAAACCTGGGCACTGTGTTGTTGATGGCATGGACGAAACGAGAACCCGAGCTGCACACTTACATGTGCGTCTGAGTCACTCCAGGAACTCCATGACGTCCACTGGGACTTCGCTTGTGGAAGCCCACCATAGCACCTCATTCACTTCATCGTCTTCTGCAACTTCACTGAACGTCACTTGCGTTCATGCTGGCCTGATCCACGCTCACGTCGCAATGCCAATTTGTATACGTTTCAAGGAATGCCCTGCGTACCTTAAGGACAGAGGGGGATGGGCCGGGATGGGCGGCAGCCAACAAGGAACCGTCTATTGAGTATAAATCTGAACACATCCCCGAACATCTGAACACACTCCCAAAGTTCCCTGCCTTGAAGTTGCGATCCTCCGGCGCGCATTTGTAACTCATTGAGACTAAGCCGTGCGTCGGAATCTGGGAGAAGGTCTCCCAGCCTGTGTACATAAGAAGCTTGACTAAGCACAGATTTTGGAGAATCGCTAATTTGCAGCAACAATTGGGCTCGGCACTGCGTGGCAAGCCCATTACAAGCCTAGCACGTGCATGAAACCAACGTTAAAAGAAATTTGCCAGCATGAGCCTCTCAGCTCCGAGCGGGTCAACTGATCCATCGCCTCGTACCCATCTCGGTTTCTGGATGTTAGTCATGCGCTCCTGCAGGGGTCAAGCTTGAAGTGGCTCAGTACGCTTGAGTGGAGCGTGGCCGGCTGATTGACACTTGATACTGTACGAACTTGGCAAGCTTGAAAGCACCTGTTTGTATAATTTTGCAGTGCTGCATGCAGCTAAGGCAGCAAGGGCCTTCTTCGCAAGGTTGATTAGAGCACAGAGAGCTGTACGCTCATCGAACGTGTCCAGCCGGAAGACAAAACGCGCCTGGTCCACACAACAGCTGAGTGCATGGACATTGCGAGATCCGAAGCCAGAACTGACCTGCTCCGGCTGAATCCAAGGAAAGAAAATCAGGGCACCAAGTCGGGCACGGAGTCGATTCACCTATGGCAGTATGCACATAAGGTTGAACCACACAGCTTCCCGCGTTGTTCATCAATGTTCGTCATATGACCAACGAGCTTCAATCCGCCGAGGCCTCGGGCCGGTAGGTCGTAGGTGTCTGGGTAGTAGACCCACCCCAGCCCAGCCGGCCCCCCCCCACCCACCCGCAGGCCCCCACCCCACCCCTACGGGTAAGGGGGGGTGCTCCATGACGGGCGCCTCACCGCTCGGCAGGCCCCGGCCGATGAGTCGCGGAGCGTTAAAATTACCTAACATACGGCATCTTGTTGCACGGCTTTGTCCATGGACTGGTGTTCGGTGAAAAAGCCTCTACCTGTGTAGATTCCTTGCAAGCAAACTACATCGAAAGCTGTTCCCATCTGGCGCCTACGTTCTGCAGAGCTCCAGCGCAAGATTGTGCCTGCTCGTCATCGCCTTCAAAGCGCACGGAGAAAACCTTCTCGTTGTGCATGTCAGCAATGCCTGAAGTGCTGCACGCAGTTGCGCAGCGGTGTAACTGGCAAAATCTGCAGCTTGCACCGAGTGGCGATTGAAGAAGACTATGAGACAATCCTCCCGGTCGCATGGATCCTGAGTGCCATCGGGACAGACTTTCTTAATGGCTGGCGTGCCAGTCTAAGCGCGGATGGTGAAGATACTGTTGAACTTGCTGGTTTGCTGTATCAACTGTACAAGGTTTTCTATCTGCTGCTGAATATGCTTGTCCATATGGCGATCTGGAATAATGAGAGGGTATGAGAGGTTGCCATTTCACATTTGGACCCAAAGCGACAGCTCTGATCCCCTGCATCTACACGGGCGGTGACAAGCCTCTCTCAGCTAGACTCAGCCCTCTGAGCTCCCCGCCAGAAAACATTCCAAAAGAGCCTTCAGTGCAGATTCTAGATTTTCAAAATTTTGCGCAGATTTGCACCTTGCATAAATTGGCATGCAAATGGCATCAGCTTAGAGCTCGAGTGCAGTCTAAAGCGGGGTCCCCTGCTCGAGTCTGCAGTGCAGTAATGTGCACCTCGCGTCCGCGCCGCAACAGCTGAAGCTTGCGTCGCTCCACAACGACACAAGTCGTGAGGGCATGTCATGACACCTGGCCTGGTGTGCCACCATCCGCAAAGCCTGTGACAGGGAGAGGCTTTGCGGTACTTGCCCAACATGTCCAACACCAGATCTGCACGCTGTTTTGCCGGTGGTACGGTGATGGCACATGATGGCACCCTGTCACAAAAAAAGCTGCCGCCAATCAGGGCGCCTGCATGTCATCCCGAGGTAACTTCGCCTTCGGCGCAGAACTGGACCACTGTGGAACTGATCGAGTTGTCTTAGGCCCTGAACCCCAAGCCTGTTCGGCATCTGCTGCGTTGCTGCTGCCCTTCTTCTGGAAGTTCTGATCCTGGTTTTGGAACCAGCTTCTTTCTCAGATGCGTGACTGATGCGTGGGCGCAGCAGCGACAAGACCCACTAGCCAGGGATTTCAAGAGAGTCACGGCTGCATAGGACATTGCATGCTTCGCAAAGCTGCGCACCTGTAATGCAATGAGCATGTTCTGAAAAGACTTGTCGTCAAGCACTTGAGCTCCTCAACATTGCTGCCACGAGCTGTTGAACTGCTGTGCAATGCTGCAATTTCTTGGTATCGGTCCTATAGGTGGCCTGGCAGAGCTGGAATAGTCCAGCTCGAGATTGCCGGCCTGTAAATCTGCAGGAACACTCAGTCAGAATATGCTGTACATGATACTCCAGACCTGTATCAACTTTTTGTCCAGCAAGTTGTGGTTTCTGGTGGTTTCTGGCATCTGCTTTGAGTGGGACCCCGTTTTTCCTTCTTGACGATCCCACCCTCTGCTTCTTCCTTACCTTCACCTTCTTCCTTCCCCGTTCCTCTGCTCCTCTTCCATCTGACGTTCTTATTGATTTGCACACGAAATAGACACGAAATATCTCGTATGTGCTATGTACCCTAAAATCCTTGTGTACCCTGTTTACCTTTTTTTGCTCTGTCTATGTACCTTATGCTCTATGTACCCTATCTTCACTACACGCACCCATTGCGTTTACAAAGGTCGCAGCTGGGCTGTGCTGGGCTGCACTGGGCTGCGCTGGGCTGCGACCGGCTGCCTACTGAATTCACATAGAGTCATACTCAAGGTGGTCGCAGCCCACCCCAGGTAGGGCCTCAGCTGCGACCAGCTGCAACCCAAGTTTAACCCACACAGAAATCTCCAAGGGGCTTAGAGGGCTTGGGGGCTTAAGGGGGCCAAGGGGGCGGTTTCCGGCTGCTGCTGCTGCAGCAGAGGTCGCAGCTGGGCTGTGCTGGGCTGCACTGAGCTGCGATGCC